TTTCTGAGTTCTTTGGTTTTCTATACTCAGTGCAGAACGCTTTTCAAAGCCCAGCAACCTGATTCAAATTGTCTAGAAAGCTTTCGTAGGATCTGTCCCTCGGGCACACTGACCCCAAATAGATTCAGTATTCCATAATTAACCCAGAAGAGCCCATCTCACTATTTTTGGCACAAGATAACTGAAACAATCAGATCATGTATTCAATTGGCATCACATCAGAACAGATTTGCTTCCTTAACCTGAGTGAAAAATAGGAATATCACACTAACTGACTTGCAAAATAGAACGTGTGTTCATTTTCTATATCAGGTAAGCTTGTTGTTGTTTATACAAAGCTTTCCAAACACACCTTATTCATATAATATTACATTTCAGGACAAGGGCAGGTGATTACAAAAATCCTGTACCCAGGGCTCATTTGCATACTTGTCTATCTGAGTCAAATACAGTAATTTAACTTTGAACTTTTCTCTTCCTTCATCATGCTTCCACTTTTTTCTGTAAGACCTCTAGACAATTCAAAAATATTGAGTGTCTACTAAGTATTAGGTACTAAAGCTAGATGCTATGCATGAAGTAACAAATTAAGGCCTTTGAGCTTATACTACAATGTAAATGCCACAAGAGTAAGGATTTGCTTTGTTTATTGTTACTCTTTACATACTATGCAGAAGTAATGGTAGGGCCAAAAACAAAAATCAACTTACCCAGGCATGATTCTGGGTTGAAGAAAACTTCTAGTCAGAAACCTAGATAGCCCTAGGTTATCATTATTTACAGCATTATCATATTGATGGGCATTGTTCTCATATCTTTATATATCCAAGTCTAGATAGGCACGCATAGATATCTATATATACATATAAAAATTCACTCATGCACAATTTATTCTCATTATTTGTATTGAAGTCCCATGAAGTTATCACAAACAGTAAATTAGTGAATACTAAAGCAATGCTCCTAAAAGAATTCCCAGGTTAGGTTCCTAAAAGCACCTAGCTGACATTTTCATGAAAAAAGTCCATAATTTTTTATATGTGTATGTTTCTTATTTGACAAATAAAGTCAATTCATTGACATTAAAAGCCAGCACCACTCGTGTCTGATCCAAACTCAACTCATGTCTAAACAATGTTTTCCTCTCTGAGACACATTATAGACTTCTCATTCTTAGGGACAGTATACACAGATTCAGCACTGCACGTGAGGCCATTTTAAATAGTTAAATCACAAATGAAACAAAGCACCAAAATGCGGGAAACATGGCCTTAACTCCATTGAGAAGGAGATGTTTGTTTACAGCAGGAGAGCTGAAACCAGAAGCCAGAGTGTCACCTTGGCTAAGCTCACTGGGAACACAGGCACCAGGCTGTCATGCCGCCCAGAACATGTCCACAGTGACCTCAAAAGTGGCATAAGCATTGACTTTAGGGTTTCAAGTAAATATTAGCAAGTAAGCAGATTCATAAGAATGAACTCTGTAGATAATAAGGACTGACTGCATACACACAAACACGCATACGTATACAAGCACCTATGCGTGGGGGTGCATGGTTAAAGCCTCATGTAGAGTTCACAACAGCCACCTTTAGCAGATGATGACCTCATCCCTACTTTGTAAATGAAGAAAACTAAGTGGCTACCTGAGGGTGCTTCTATAGAGCTGGACAGACTTTGTTTACCTGATACTCAGTAAATCTGAAGTATTAGTTTTTTGACTTGTTTTTCCTTTATCTGCTAAAAATTTTATTGAAATATAGCATGAAAATAGAAAACTGCACATATCATAAACATATATGCATTTTCATAAATTAAAGAAACCCAGGCAACAAGGGCTAAAGTCAAGAAACAGATCAGACACCCTGGAAGTTCCCTTTGGATCTTTTCTACTCGACACCTGCTCTCCACGGGCAGCCATAGTCTTGACTCCTAATCATTAGCTACTAGTTAAAGTAAGAGTCACATGATGCCCGGATCTTAGTTTCTAATATCATTCTCCAAAAAGAAAAGACAGGGTCCTTGGAGATGTGGCCGATTCTAGAATTGAAGCTGGAAAGCCTGAAGCATCTTGTACTGCTAGAATACGAAGTGATACACACACACACACACACACACACACACACCACACACACAATGATGGGTATGTCAAAAGAATGCAGGAAGCAACCGAACAAGCTCCAAGCAGGCAAAGCAGGAACTTGGTGTAAGAAAATAAATTGGATTAAAACCCAAAGTGTAAAATAAATGAGTCTATACTGGTATAAAAACGTGATTCAAAAAATAAATAAATATGGAAGAATAGACAAATCTCCTGTGCAGAGTTCCAAACAATTTATTTGGACAATCCACCTTCAAGAAAGTGAAGACCAATTTTTCCCTTCTTTCCAGGGAGCTATGAAGTTGCTCTCTTCCTATGAGTACAGTTTGCCGTTGTCCTAACTCTTCTCACAATCTAATTTTACTGCTTTCATCTTTATTGAGTTCTCCAAGGAGAAGAAAGCATCCAAGTATTCTGGAAATATAACAAACTAAGATTCAGGAGACCTGAGTTGTCTTAATTCTGACACATACTACTGGGCTAGTCACAAACTCTGGAGCCTCTAATTCTTCTTTGCAAAGCTTAGGAGAGAATTCTCTTTGGGCCATATGAATTTTCATAATTGTGGTTCTATGTACAAATTCTCAAGATTAAGTTCAAATACCAACATTGACATTTACTAGCTATAAAATTCTAGACAAGCACCTTAATCTCCTTCAACTTGAATATCCTTATCTATAAATAGGGTTAGTATTAGTGTCTACATCTTTAGATTTTTATAAGGATTAATGTATACTACATTAAAACATGACCTAGAAAACAGTACATTCTAGAGCAGGGGTAGTGAACCTATGGTGTGCATATCATAGAGGGCTGTTTGTTATCACTGAAAGTTCTAAAAGGTTCGCCATCTCTGTACTAGAGAACAACAATAATAATAACAGCAATAATATGCCTGCTCTTGAAATAGAGTGCCCTGGTACAAAGCATCATCTTCAGACAAGTCTCCATTGAACAACACAAGGATCTCTTTCTCCACCTTTCCTCTCTGTATGTTTTTCTGGCTTCTCAACCACTCGTCTGATGGACATATTCTCTCTTTCAATATATTGGTAGATGTAATTGACCAAGAATTAAGACACCACTGGCCTAGTGTTGTTTTTCCTCAAATCAGTACATTTGTCAGTGTCTACTTCTCTCCTTTAATTCAGTTTTTGCCGTTTGCTGGGAGGTCTTGCTCATTTTTCCCAATTCCATATTCTTGAGGGACTCATAATAGTCCCCACTTTGGGCCGTAAGCTGAAACTGGAGAATTTCTGCGGTTATTTTGAATACATGAACAACTCTATGATTAGATTTCAGTTGCATACATAGCAATATCTGCATAAAGATCTTTAAAACTTGATATTGAGAAAGAGATAAAATAACCGAAAAAAGGACAGACTGTCACCACGACAAATTGAAGAAAGATGTTAAGCAGACCCATTTCTTTATAGACAAAGGCAAATAGAAACGTGGCATCTAATTATGGGCTTTATTCAATATATAATTTCTAGACAATATTCTAATACTAGAAAAAATAAAATGAGGTTCAAAAGACACTATTCATGAAATTTACTTTTGTATTACGAAGTTTCTCTATGAAAGAACTGACACAAACTCCAAGTCCTCCCCAGCTGATACACAGACGACCTTGGCAGGAAATCATAAGCTCCCTTGGTCTCCTTTTTTTTTCTCATCTGAATGTGTAAACGCTAAATTTCCAATAATGCAAAGATTTTACAAACTGCTCTTTTTTATTAATAGTCATTATCAAGTGTTTATGACATGCAATAATACATGAATACATGTATAGCCACCACTAATTAAAAAATCAAATGTTGATCATGAATTAAGTCCTGTGCGTTGAGCTTCTCCCCACTCAAGACTGCAATGTGTACAAAGATCTTAATAAGTTATTCTTCTATAAGGTTCAGGAAATGCAATTAATATTCAATAACTTGCCCAGAGTCCTGATAAGAAAAGTCAATATTCAGTCACAGGTGACTAACAAGGAAAATTCACCCCCACAAATTGTTAAACAAGCTAGGAAAAAAGTGACTGCAGATACTGTGAGATAAACAAGGCTTTCAAATGAGTTCAGGGAAATTTGTCCAAGTGGAGAATATATGTTATTATTTCACAGTATGTGAAAGGAATAACCAGAAATAGTCTTCTCAAGGAAAAAAATCGAGGTCTTTTAAGATTAAGAATTAATTTTCTAATGACAAATATTCCTTCAGCTTTGCACATATGTCTAACCATATGGGAATTGACAGATTTTGTAACTATTACTGAGTTTTACTATACCTGTGATCAAAAACCCATTTTTAGTTTCATTTTTAAGATTTGTTGATTTTATCATGCTTTGTTTTTAAAAATAATTTATTAGAGAAAATATAGAACATTTTATAGAAGTAATTTGGAGTATAAACTGAATTTTTATCATTGTAACTCAGACTGTTCCTTGCTATGAAAGTAATTAATGCAAATTATCAATAAGATAAATAGCCAATTATCTTGCCATCTGCTGGGAATTGAGAAAATTATCTCCCTTTTATAAAAAGGAAAAATTCTTTGTGTCTGCCAAGTATCATAAAGATATTAAAAACCCACACAGATATTTTCTAAATTGACTATTGTAAAGAAAATAAAACTCAAAAAAAGAAAACAGGAAAATGAGTAAAGCAAACTATTAGTTGTATCAGAAAGCTAGGAAATAAATGAGAGGAAAAAACCCAACAACTAACCGAAATAACTCAGGATTTTGAATGCAATATTTCTTAAGGAATAGGTACTATGGTTATAAAATATCTAATATATTCAGATAATTCAAGAATTAAAGGTAAGGAAGTTGGATAAAGCAATAGCTGGTAATGGTTAAGGATTAATGATGGCACTCAGATATTGATATACTTACATTTTCCATAAATGCATCTTGGAAGATTACAGTGTTGCTAGAAAGAGTTGCTCATTTTTGGTTCTTAAAGGAAAGAGATAAGTTTAAGGTAAGATTTTTAAAATGAGACACCACGCCTACCCAGGCATAAACTCTATGAAAAGAGAGACTGTTTCTAACACGCTCCCTTTTCTTCTTCCAGAATCTAACACTCAGTAGTGCTCATTAAATTCTGGTAAAATGAGCAAATATTCATGAAATCACAAATGCAAAACTACAGTTCACTCAAAGGCAAATTGATGGGAAATGAACTCTAAATGCTTATATTTGAGACACTAACATGTGAACAATTGCTGTAAATAGCAATAAATAGCAACTCATATCCCTATAGCCCAGGGAAAATGTAAAAAATATTGAGTAATTAGGATCAGTTACTCCATAGAACAGTCATAGCTCTTTATGCAATTTTTAGTAATCATTTCTGAGCAAGCACGTACCTAATCATTTCGGAATAATTTAGATTAAAAATTCATACTCTTTTCCTTTAAACTCTGCATAACTCACCCTGAAGAGAAGCCAACTCAGTTTCTCGTACCTCCTACAAGTGCACAAGACTTATGGGAGGAAGACTTCCGTTTCCCTCCTATTCTCCTCCAAAGCTCAGCCCTCCCACCATGAAATAAAAGCCCCAGTGTTGGAACTTCCCATCTCTACTTTATCTGTCTCTTCTATCAAACTTCTAACTTTCCCTGATATCTGCTGAGGATTTGGATATCTCATAGCTATTTTCTTCTGTACCTCCATCCTTGAAAACACTGTGAATGATACCCATGTCTTAAGATAGATGATTGATCTTAGACACTGGCACTGAGTGTTTAATACCCCTGACCTCCTCAACTTCAGATTCTGACTACGCCAGACTTCCACCCTATCCCATAGCAACCGCAGAGCTTTGCTTTCCTTGCCATATCTTTAACTTCGTCTTCTATCAATGCACACTCCTGGCTTCTCTGCCACCTACACTTAAAATCCTTCACTCTATTTCCCTACCTCCAAGTCTTAACCTGCAAAGCCCTCTGCAATTCTGACCCCACCCACATAAGCAAACTCTCCTCTTTGCAGATGTCCTGGAATACTCGTTTCCAAAGCAGCTCCAAACTTCAAACTCACTGATCTTTTTCGTCCTGCATTTTTTCAGTTCCTTCCCCCTCAGCTCCTAAAAATTCCTCTGTAAGCATTCATTTCAGTTAAAAGCCTTATGATGCCCCACCTGCCCAGTCTGATTTATTTGCTCCTCCTTCTGGTTCCCAACATACTTTTTTATATGCTTCTAGGATATACTTGCTATGGCAGGAAGCACATCTTGCTCATTTTTGTGACTGTAACACATAGGACAATATTAGAAGACAGTAGCTAGCTCAAGCCCTCAGAATGCTTTAGAGAAAATATTGAGAAGTGGCACTAGAGAAACTGGAAATAACATTAATTCCAAGCTTTAAATTTTCCTATACTTAAAATTTAAATTTTTCCCTGGTTTGTTAATGCTGCTGGGCATTATTACTCACATCTAAATAATGACTGAATTGGGGGAGGGGCTGTAGATGAATGCTACAGTTATTATACAACTATGATATAAAATATTATAGTTGATTGGAGGATGATCAAATGAGGGTGTTTTCCAACTTAAAGAGGGAAAAAAAGAAATGGATGAAAGCATGTATTCCTCTAAATTTTTAAAGTCAACAAAACAGTTATTTTTGTTCCTGAAGGAGTGTTTTGAAAATTGTAAAGAGGCTCACAACCTGGTTAAATCTGAGTCATCAAATGAATTATTTAAAACCAGAAGTTTGAGTTAGGTTTCGTTTTTATGTAAGAAGCCAGCTAGCAAAACAAGTCTTTAAAGAAAAAAGGAACTGATTAATCTCATCCAATCCACATGTTACTATGCCATTATTAAATCACAGCTAAAGCCAGGCATGGGGGATTGCTGCCATGTAAGCATTTACATTTTAAAATAGAATGATAGCTAGGCTCATCCAACCCATGGAGTCTTCTTCTCCATATCTTATTTCTCCTTTAAAATCACCACCAGTTCCCTGTTGGTCAAAAGACTGGAGCTGCAATTCAATGTGAGCCACAAACTGTGGAATCTTGGGTCAGTCAATTGACCTACACAGGTCTCAGTTTTCTCATCTGTAAAACGAGAAAAGATCATGTGAGTGATTTTCAAATACTGTGTTATTCCACAGAACTTCTTTTTCCCAGAGGAGATCTTACAGGGAACCCTAGTATGGACCACCTGAAATGTAGCAGCTTTGGCAAAAGAAAGATGAAGATTCAGCCTCCTTCCTCTTCCTCCATGCATACCCTAGAGCTCTGGGAAAGAGTGGGAAAACCAGCCACCCATCGTGAGCATTGTCTTTCTCAATGAGTATGGTGGATTGAGGTAGCCTTGTAAGTAATGATGATACCATGGCAGACACCAAGTTAAGCACCCACCTTAGCTCATGAGGAAAATAACACATTTTCCTGGTTCTAACTGAAGGTAAAATGGGAATCTTGTCCTGAAATGACCTTGGAAGAATATGTCCACCGACTCTACTGATTTGGAGGTTGACTATGTTAAATAAAGGCGACCTGAGGCATTGACTGTGTTAGATAAAGGTAAACTGAGGCATAATAAAATTGGTAAGAGTTTATTCAAGCAAATAACATTCTTGAGCAGAGCAGCTCGATACCAGAAAAGGCTCAGGCGCTCCACGAGGGAGCGCAGAGGGGAAGCTGAGGGGTCGGATGCGGAAGTAAAGCACAGAAGTCACTTGATCGGCCACAGTTATACAGTTGCTTTATTTGATCTGAAGGACTAAAAGTTTGTTGGCTTCTCCTGATTGGTTGAGCTTAAGTTCTGACTTTCTTCAGTGTGGGCTCGTTGCATAATTAGCTCAAGTTAACCTTTCTTCGTGTTTGTGTATTTACTGAATTTTAGGTCACTTGTAAGGTCTAAGTAGCATCATCTGCTGAGAGATCCTTCAGGTCTGCTGTGCACTGTATTTTAGGGAACAACTCCCTGCATGATATTTCTGACCACCTCCCTGCCCCGCACCCCCACACTCAGCTCCTCCAGGGACTCCCATGGGCCCCCGGGCCCAGAGACGCACTTGGCTTCCCCTCCTCCACCGCCCCTGCGACGTGGCCTCTTCCATGACCTCGCCTCACCCCAAGCAGGGGCACCTGACTCAGAAGCTTGGGAACTCAGATTCTGCAGCAGCAATAAGAGAAATCTCGGAATAAAGGAACCTCTGGGCCCTGTATAACCCAAAAATCTCTAGATTTCTCACATTACCCTACTCAATTAAAATAAGCCTAGGCTTTCCTTCTCTTCTCACCCACATTCAAAGATCCAGTGCGTCTGAAACTGAATTTTCCTCACTCTCCATTCTTTAGACAAAGTGAGAAAGTGCTTTCAAAACTAGCTCTAAATATGGCACATTTTATCTCTTCGAGGGGAAAAAGGGAGAAAAAAATATCTCACTTTCTTGCTTCTACAACTTACTTCAGAATTTGCCGAGGAATTCCCACAGAATTATTGCAATTAGAAAAAAGAAAATCCTATTAAACTAGGAAATGTCCACACATTCTTCAGCACCTGAAGACCAGGAAGCAACTCATGCAGCACGGATCACTTTTTCTCTCCTACCCTGGGATTCTCCTGTAAAACACACACACACACACACACACACACACACACACAGAGAGAGAGAGAGGAAAGCAAATGTCACAGAGCAAACACAAAGCTGTCTCCAAGCTCAAGGAATTAGAATTCTGGCCTCTTGGCCTGTTCACTCTCTAAATGTTTACCCGCCCGCCCACACTTTCAGACACCCCAGACATGTACCTTGGAGCTCCACATTTCAAAAGTGAGAAGGCAAATGGTACCATCCAGGGGTCTCCAAGGTGACCTCCCTCTGGCCCTGTTGGAAAGGGGCTCTGTCTCTTCCAGCTGCCCTTCTTCCTCCTTCAGACCCATCTCCTGGGTCCCACTCACTCCCACGGGGGGCCGGTGATGTGGTGGCCTTGAACTGCAGATCCCAGACTTCCTGGAGCTTTCCTGGCTTTGTGAGTGTCCATTTAGTAACAGGTGAGTCATTCTGCTCGAGGAGCTGATGAAATACCAGTCTCTTGCAAACTTCCTTTGGCCAAAGTGCTAGCTCAACACAGGACTCAGCACCCCAAGGAAATGGGGAAGAGGGTTACTTGTCAATAATCCATGAACCCAAAGAGCCCCAGACATCTGTCTTTGCAGCCTAGTCAGAACTCAGGAGAGGCTGAGTCACTTGGTGACATACGTCAGGTTAAATAGCTCTTTCCAGAGCCTACCCTCTGCTGAGACTTTCCGGTACACAGGCTGACTTTCCTTGTGGCCCTTCCACCATCTAGGGAGGTTTTATACTTAGAAATCTTCAACAGGAAGAGTAGCTACTCTTTTGTACAGCTCTTTTCTTTAAAAAGATAAGTGAAAAATAAAATAAAACAAATCATTGTGTTTGTGAAAGAGTAAGTCTTCTACATGTGTGAGCTATATGTGTGTGTGAGTGCATTGTATGAATGTGTGTGCATGTGGGGTGTGAGTGTGTAGCCATAGGTGTGCATGGGCACATGAGTGCGTATAAATACATGACTGTTTTAGGTCCTCTTCTTTTATACTCCTTTTATTCTTCAACACTGATGTTCCAAACACTTGCATCCCCACCATTGGCAATAATTTTATGCCAACTTTTTTTCTGCGAAAATTAATTCCAATCTTTCCATCTCAGTGATGAGGTACAACACGATTTCCATATCGATTCTCCAGCAAATCAAGGAATAAATAGCTCATGCGAACACTTCCCCACATCACCGAGCTCAACTCATTAACTCCAACTTTAACCTTTTTTGTTGGTACCGGGGATCGAACTCAGGACCTTGCACTTGTGAGGCAGGCGGCAGAAGCACTGAGCTAAATCCCCAGCCTTCCAACTTTAACTTTTAAATGAAACATCTCACTTATTAAAATCTTATTTTCCTTTGTGAGTAAAGCATATAAGCATAATTCAAACTTTTCTTTCTAGCTGAAGATCATAGTTGGGAGCCACTGGTATTTTTTCTTCTCTGCTGCAGTGTAATCCACTCCCGCTGAGCCAGGACATGCAGGCTGACAACTTCGTACACAGCAAAAAGGTTCCTGTTTTCTTCTACCAGAAACTGGCAAGAGCTCCCTCCTGTCACCGCCTGCCAGCTGCTGATAGCCTGGTAAGTTATTAGCTCCATCTGCAGCCAATCAATCACCAGTCCTACACCTTTCTACTGGACCATCCTTCTTTCATTCTATTTTGATTTATTTTCCTCTCTTTCTGCCCTCTTCTCTAAGGTCCATTCCCAGCACTTCTGCTTTTTCTGCTCTCTGGCTGCCCTGGCTAAAGGATGTGCTGTTTGCTTCTACTCTGGTCAGGGACACTGTCGCCACCTTGGGGTCTTCCTGTCTCTAGTGTTCACTTGCTCACTTACTGTTTACTTACTAGCATTTACTTTGCTTGTTTTGTTGGGGGGATTGGTTGTTTTTGTTTTGTTGTGTTATTGGGGAAATTTTTTAAACCTAGCTCCCTTTGCTATCCTTTCTTCTCCCTGCCTCCTCATTTCAGGTTTGGTGCATTCTGAGGATAGGCGCTTGCCCCAGTGCTGCCCTCTGGATGATCTGTGATCTGCAATTGTTTCCTGACAACTGGAAGAATGAGAGCTCATTCCTTAAAAATATACTATCCTTAAGAAGAGATGAAATCAGCATATTTGGGGATGAATACAAATTTTTGCTCTAAAAATGAAAAGTGTAATATAAAATATAGGCAGAGGAATCAGCAGAATATCTGCTGCAGAAACTGAAAGCTACATGTCCCCCCCCAGTGACCCTGGAATCCACAGAGGTGTTGCAGAACCCTGTCCTTCCATGACCTCCTCTCCCTGTGGGGCCAGACTGTGTCCACTCTGCACAGTCGGGGAGCGGTGCCACCCCAACCCAGGGCTTCTTCCTTTCAAGGAAAAACACTGCTTCGCTTTCCACCACTTTCAGTCACCAAAAGTGTCACTTGTTCAAAATTGTACAAAATCACACTTACATTTCAACAAATGCAAATTTATTAAAAAATAGACACAAGTGCCAAGATTGCATTTGCTTATTCAGATATCCAAACTAGTTCTCTCACAAATATTTGTTGCAATTACTTTTGAATTAAACTTTAGAGCAGAGAAGGAAGATGTACATCTATGAGTTGTTCATTCATTTCCACATTTCAGTTCCTTTGGACAGTAAATCAACGTAATGACACTTGGGCAGTCCTCCGTAGATTATTATCAGGCATACCTAAAACATGAGTGGGACTATTCTGGAGAAGTCCTAGCATGTGATAATACCTTGCAAGGAATTAACTGTCAAATTCCTCTAATGAATATAATCACCCACCTTTTTATTCCACTCTCCAGTCCATCACTTAGCTAATTAATTCCTCCATAAAAGTGAACATATTCAGGTCCGTAAGTAAATTAAAAGCATTGGCCATAACCTCTTAGGTTCCAGTTACAGCTGTACAAAGTTAATCATAGTCTCACCTGTCAAACCCACTTGTTGGTCCAGTTAACACAGCCCTGGTCACCTAGGGGAATGACAAAGCTTGATTCCAATACACCAACATCCTCAACTCAAGTGTCAAAACACACACACACACACACACACACACACACTTCATTCAATCCAGAAGGTGATTCTGGCTTATCAGAGAAAAAAATGCACCTCATTTCACTGATGAGCAAATCTGAAGGCAAAGTTGAATGATTTCACCATTAGAAAATGGACAGGAATTTCACTACCGAAACCAGCAATGGTTTGTTGTCCCAAGGCATCAGTACATAGAAAGCTGTCTGGCATTGAAGAAGGCTTCAGGAGACAAAGACTATCATACAGTTGGAAATAATCAGTGCATAGTTTGATCCACACCATGGAAAAGTCTTGAGTGAATCAGTAGAAGACTCTAACAGCAAAGGGCTTATTGTACATGAGAAATTGTAGATTCCTTCTAGTTAATGACAAGATGAAGCCCTAAGGCCAATCAGGCTTCACACCACAAAACCTGGCTTGCTTAATCCAGTGTAATACCTGCTTGTATGAGTTTCCTAATGATGACATAACACAGCATCACAGACTGGGTTGCTTACACCGCAGAAATTTATTTTCTCATGGTTAAGAGGCATCATGGTGACTTCCAAGGGGCTGAGACAGTCTGCTTTGTGCTTCTCACCCAGTATCAGTGGTTGCTGGCGACCTTTGGTGTCCTTGCCTTGTAGAAGCATCACTATCATCTCTGTCTTCACCACCACAAGACATTCTCCCTCTGAGCTCTGTACGAAAACTGCCCCTTTCCAACACGCCAGTCCTGTGAGACTAGTGCCTAGTCTCATGACCTCATCTAACTAAACTGCAAAGATGATTTCCAAGTAGGGCCATATTCTGAAGGACTGGGGGTTAGGGCTCCAACATCTGAGTTTAAGAAAGTCAAGGGACACAATTCGCCTGCTCACATCTACCCTAGAGATTATGCTAAGGTCCAGGAGAGGGCAGTGAAGCAGTTAAAACAGGAGTGGGTTTGCCAGCAGCGGGATATTCAGTGTTATATGGAGCCACAGTAAAATTGAGACATAGAAATGGGTAGCTAGATGGGGTTGGTCATAGAATTTTAGGGTTTAAGGTCAATGAGTCTCCTATATTCTGTATTTAGAATTCAGCTCACTTCCTCCGAAGATGAAAATCCATTCAAAAGGATGTGCAAATCTCCCTTCACTTATTTCCACCCTAACCTTGCATAGGTCAATGTTGTTGGTTGTTTTAGACAAAAGAATTAAGAGAGTCAACAAGGCATCAGGTGCTTTCACTTCACTCAGGACAGAGGCAACGGGAAAGAGCCTGCACTAGACCTTTGTGTAAGCATTTCCTTTCTTCTATGTACAACATACAGATTCTCAATGGGTAAAACCCTTCTGATACAATATTACCAAAACATGATTTTGAATTCCAAATAGGGAGGTGGTGGAGCTCAGTCCCTCTCACTCCCTTGAATATGGGCTGGGTCTAGTGGCTCACTCCAAAAGGAAGGGGAAGAAAGTCAGCTTACAATGCAGACAGGTGGTTAGCATGATCTTAACGGAGTGACCAGCGTGACACCACGCATCCTAAGTCACATGGACACGGTGTCACTTGGGATGTGATGGGAGGAGAACGGTGCTTTGTCTTTGTGTTATTCTGTCCTCAACCCATCACCCAGTCTTAAAAGGAGGAAAACATCAGACAAATCCAACATGAGGAATAATCTATGGATCGCCTGACCAGTAGCCTCAAAACTGTCAAGATAATGAAAACAGGAGAAAAGTCTTAGCCACTGTCACAGAACTGAGGAGGCTAAGGAGACTCAGAACTAAAAGCAAGGTGGGATCCTGGGTGGGATCCTGGGACACAAAAGGGAAATTATGGAAAAACTAATGAAGCCAAAGGCAGGTAGAGTTCAGCTGATTTGAACTAAGGGGATTACTCAGACTTGTTGACTGTACAATGTTATGTAAAATGACTATGGGGGAAACAGAAGCTGGATGAGAGCTATGCAGGGACTCTTGTAACTCTTCTATAGATCCACAATTATTTAAAATAAATTATATCACAAATAGAGATAGAGATAGATGTATATTATAAAGCTTAACATCAAGCCTTACTCTCTACAATATTAAGTCTCAATATGAACCCACATTTAATATTCTATGTATAATACAGAGTCTGAAGTGTAACCCTTTAAATTTGAACGAAAAGTAACAAGCTGCTACTACTTACTTTATTAAGACTTCAAAGTTCTTCTGTGCTGGAGAGTGTTAAAGGGTCATAGGCTATGTCAGGGTTATTCATGACAGAAACCTACTAAAACCCCCTGCTCGTAAAACAAAAGCTCTTATTCTTACCACAATTCAAAAGACAATGTCTATCACATGTCAGGGTCACTCATTCTGAACCAAAAAAAAGACTGTCAGAGTGGGTTTCAAATGCAGTTCATGAGAACCTCATTTTAGTGACTTCTCCTTAAAATTAGCTTTGAGAGTAGGAGACCACGTTGGAGAGTTAGCATGTAGTTTTCCTTTGAATCCATTTTCTCACAGTTATTTAAAATGTAATGCTCTGGTTGTTTGGATTCTCAGGAACACTTTGTTTACATGTATATGAAGAACACTAAGGAA